CTTCCCCTGGACCTTCAGTTGCCTTCCGGTGTTGCTTTTTCCATCTCTGGGGCTGGTGTCAAACTGACTTTGTCAGGAGATCTCCTGGGAACTTGATGAAGGGGCTTCTGAGTTATTAGGCCCTTCATGATCAGTTAACCAGTAAGCATGTGCCAAAGCAAAGCCAGTCCCTGCCCTCAGGGAGCTTCCATTCTAAAAGGGGATCCCCTGTGGCCTTAGAAGGAATGTGATGATTGCTGTCTGATTTGGAAGGTCTCCAGTGGAGTGCCTCAGGCCTCTGTCCTGGGCCTTGAAGACTCAGAGATATGGACAGCAGCATGGGCAGGGTTCAAAAGGCCCTGAGGTCAAATCTCTCAAAGTAAAATGTGATGCAGTGGGGGTCCAAGGTCACCTTGAAACCCTAAAGTGAATATTCTCATTTAAGGAGGAGGGAAACTCCCAGAGCTAGGAAGTCTGTTAAGGTGAAATTTGAATCCAGGCCTCGCACTTTCCACTCTCCCACCCCGCCTCTCCATGGGCTTCACAGATTAGAAACGTTTGGGGGCTTTCGGGGATACAGGGTGAGCAGCCAGAAGCTCTGTGAGCTTAGGTTCAGGGCCCCAGGAGGTGTGGAGCATTGTGAGGTTCAGCACCAGGGGTGACTCTCCTGCCGTCCTCTGCTCAGAGCATGTCTAGGCTGGGTTGTAGAAGGGGCTCAGTCCCAGAGGGCAGAGCCTGCAGCAGGGCAGGGAAGAGACCCAGGAGCAGTCTGGACTGGGGGCTGAGGGGAAACTCCTTTACATCCTGAACCACTCAAAAATGGGCTGGCGTTCACAGTCAGAAGCTGACAAGGGAGCAGGGCTCCTCCTGGCCAAGGGTGTGGACACCAGGGCCCAGGGATGGACTCCAGGGCCCGGGGATGGACTCCAGGGCCTGGGGATGGACACCAGGGGCCGGGGATGGACTCCAGGGCCCGGGGATGGACTCCAGGGGCCGGGGATGGACACCAGGGCCCGGGGGCAGGGGCCGGGGATGGACACCAGAGGCCGGGGATGAACCCCAGAGACCATGGATGGACACCAGAGACCAGGGATGGACTCCAGGGGCCAACAAGGGAATGGGCTCCTCCTGGCCGAGGGGTTTGGATCAGGCCAGTGGGAGGTGGGTTTTGCTTGACTTTACATATTTGTTACAAGAGTTTTGGGGTTTTTTGGTTTTTTGTTTTTTTTACACTAACGAGGGAGGTGGGGGGAGTAGATTTTGTTCATTGAGAAAAATAAGTCCCTCAGATACTTGCTGGTTTGGCTCCTCCGGAGTCAGCCCTGGACAAAGTGCTTCTCCTCTCTGGGCCTCGGGTTTCCCATCTGTAAAACAAAGGGGCCTGAATCTAGGATTCTGTGCGAGGCCAGTGAAGGCCTTTGGTGCGTGTGCAGGTCCTTGGTGATGGGAGCTGGTGATGATTAAAAGGCAGGTCGTGCTTCTTTCTGGTTGATGTATGATTGTGGTTGTTCCCCACAGCTTGCTCCCAGAGCAGCAACCAGTCCTGCACCGAGTGCCTGAAGAATGTCTCGGTGAGTCCTAAGGGTGTGTCCCCAGGGCCCCTCTGACTAACCGAGGGAGGGGGTCCCCAGCACTTCCTGGCTTCTCCCTCTCCTTCGCTCCCCGCCACATCCTGTCTCTTCAGGAGTCTCTCATCCCGCCCTGCCTGCTGCAGCCTCCTCCATCCTTAGAAGCAGCATCCCATCTCCTGCCCCTGCCCCTTTGCACAGGCTGATCCCCCCTTGGTCAGCTGCTGGGGCCCTTTCCCCAAAAACCTCCCTGTGTCCACATGCACACAGTAAACACTCTCTCTCTCTCTCCCTCCCCCCCCCCCCCCCCCCCCCCCCCCCTCTCCCCCGCCCCCCTCCCCTTCCCTCTCTCCCTCTCTCCCTCTCTCCCCCTCTTCCCCGTCCCCGTCTCCCCAGCTACATTGTGAACTCCTCGTGTTTGGCTCCCTCTGGGGACCAGCACAGGGCCTAGTGCCCAGTAGGCCTTTGAGAAATGCTTGTTGGTTGGCGGGTGGTTGGATGGTCAGTCAGTCACTGTTGGGTTTTTGCCAGCTCTTGTCCTCTGCACCAGCTGGCTTCCTCTTTGAGATTTCAGTCGAGGTGATGAGACCAAACATAGACATCAGAGGAGCCCATTTGAATGACCAAGGCCCGCCTGGCTCTGGGGAGGGGGTGGGGGAAAGGACAGCTTGATCTGATCATTCTTGAATGAGTGGGGCAGTGACAAGCCCCCAGGACCCTCAAGGCAGTCTTGTGACCAGGGCCAGGCCTACCAGTCCAGTTCTGCTAGACCCAGGCTAGATGTCTGTGCCGGTCCTGGAGCATCCATCCCAACATTGTTCATCTGCAAAGGTGCCAGCACACCACAGACCTCTCCCCAGTGTCAGCCCAGAGCCTCTGTGAGATGGAGGGAGGGACATTGAGGAAATGATTTTTTTTTTTAATTATTCTTTCTTTCTTTTGGTGAGGGCAGTTGGAGTTAAGTGACTTGCCCAGAGTCACACAGCTAGTGAGTGTTATGTGTCTGAGGCCAGATTTGAACTCAGATCTTCGTGACTCTAGGGCTGGTGCTCTATCCACTGTGCCACCTTGCTGACCCAGGAAATGATTTTTAAATGACCCCGTTGGCGCCATCTTTCTTCATGCCCCAAACAGATGTCCCCCGAGTCCCTTGATCCAGCTTGGCCTTCAGACCTCTGTTGTTACACTGATCATTCAGGTTTCCCCCTCATTAATTGGTCTACTTTGAGAAGAGATTTCTAACCTCGATTTCCTGCCGGGGGGGGGGGGGGGGGGGTTCCCCCCCCCCCGGGGGGGGGGCCCCCCCCCCGCCTGGGATTAGTCAGGAGCAGAGGCCACCAGCCCCCTCTTGGGGCAGGTCGGGACCAGGCCTAATGTTCAGCCTCTGCTCTGAAACGTCACTGACCCTCCCCACCCACCCCCGGCCTCCTCCAAGTCATGGGTCCTCCCACTTGACCAGAAGGAGCCTTTAAGGTTGTGTCCAAGCTAAAGTAGTGCTTGGCTTTTGATTGATTCTCTCTCCCACTCACCACAATGGCTGAGAAAACCCAGGGCACCCCTGCCCTTCTTGTGCTCTCTTGACCCCTCTCCTCCCCTTTACCCATTCTCTGTCCCCCCCCCCCCAGTGAGATGGGGGGCTGGCAGGCGATTGGTGAAGGGTGCAGACATGGGCTTCATTTCATGAGGAAGAACAGGAGGGGAGGGGGCTGGCTGCCTCCCCCTCCTCCTCCCCCTCCTGCTCAAGGAGGGGCCCCCTTGGCGGGTAGGCTGGACTTATGGTTCCTGTGCCAGTCCTCCCCGTCTCCGTTTTCCTCTTCTCCATCTCTTTTACCTGTGTGCTCCCTCCTCAGTAGAAGCGATCAGCATTTATTAAACACGGCCCAGACGGCTACCCTGCTCCCCTGGAACATGCCTGTCACTGTGTGGGAAGGAGGCCTGAGTGATGAGGGAGGGTGGCGGGCATTGTAGGCCTAGCCTGGTCCTGTTGTAGGATGCTTGGAGAGGAGGCCTAGGTCATGAGGTGGCGGCCGGACTGTGAGGAGCAGGGGAGCCTGGGGGGGGGGGGGGCAGAGGGGACTGTCCTGGGGCAGGGGATGGAGGAGTGACTCTCTGCCTCTCTGTTTTAGTGCTTTTGGTGCTACACTAATAATGCCTGCCTGGACTATCCCGTCAGGAAAATCCTGCCGCCCAGCTCCCTGTGTCCGCTGAGTTCTGCCCGCTGGGGCGTGTGCTGGGGTAAGTCCTCTCCTTGCCTCTGCACTTGGTGCATCTGCCTTTGACTATGCTTCTGCAGTCACGTCCCCATTTAACGATGAGGAAGCTAAGGCCTTGGCTCAGGGGAAGTGTGGGCGGAGTGGGGTCCTGCAGGCTGGAGGTCAGTCAGTAAACATTTATTAAGCATCTGCTTGTGCCAGGCCCTGGGCTAAGTACTGGGGAGACACAGAGAGGCAAAAGACGGTCCCTACCCTCAGGGAGCTCACAATCTGTTGGGGAGACAATAAGCTGGCACAGCTGTAGACAGGATAAAGAGGGAATGGCCCTGGAATGAGGAAGGGCTAGGGAAGGCTTCCTGTAGGAGGGGGGATTTTAACTGGGACTTGAAGAAAGCCAAGAAGCTCAGTGGTCAGAGCAAGGGAGAGCATTCTAGGCCTAGAGAGGAGAGGTAGAGGGTCTTGTTCAAGGAGCAGCCTGGAGGTTGGGGGCCCTGGATCCGAGAGTATGTGGTGGGAAGTGAGGCGTTAAGGAGGTTGGAAAGGGAGGAGGAGGGGCTGGGTTATGAAGAGATTTATTGAGTTTGGTTGGACCTGGGCTTTAGGAGAATCATTTAGTGCCTGAATGGAAGATGGGCTGGAGTGCAGAGAGACTCGGGGTAGGCAGATTCCCCCGCCAGCAGCCGTAGTCCAGGCATGGGAGGATGGGGGCTTGCACCAGGGTGGGGCAGGCTCAGAGGAGAGAAGGGGGCGTATTGGGGTGATGCTGCAGAGGTGACCTCAATAGGCCCTGGCGCCGTATTGGTCCTGGGGGGTAAGAGAGAGAGAGAAAAGTCCAGGATGGCTCCTAGGTTGGGAGCCTGAGGGACTGGGAGGAGGGTGTTGGTGAGTTCTGTCTTGGACACACCGACTTTAAGCTGTCTGCTGGGCGTCCAGTTCGGATGTCTGAAAGGCAGTTGGAGAGGCGAGATCGGAGCTCGGTAGAGTCGGGGGCAGGAAAGGTCAATCCGAGAATCATCTGAATAGACGGTCACTAAATCCATGGGAGCTGAGGAGATCCCCAAGGAAAGCAGTCTGGAGGGAGAGGAGGAGAGGGCCCAGGACAGAACCTGAGGGACGCCTGTGGTTAGAGGGCGTGATCGGGAGGGGGGTCCAGCGAAGGAGGGAGAGCAGGAGTGGTCAGAGAGGGAGGAGGAGAAACAGGAGAGAGCGTGTGGTGACCCACAGCCCTCGAGGGACGAGAGCAACCAGGAGGAGAGAGACTCACAGTCCAGGGCTGCAGAGGCGTCGAGGAGAACGAGGACTGAGAAGAGGCCACTGAGATCATTGGTCACTCTGCAGGGGGCAGAGGAATGATGGGCCAGAAGCCAGACTGTACGGGGTTAAGAAGAGACTGAGAGGAGAGACAGTGGAGGCAGCTGGTGTAGACGGGCTTTTGGAGGAGTTTCCCCACAAAGGGCAGAAGACATCGTGGGACCAGAATTATCAGGGATGGAAGGGTGAAGTGAGGGTTTGCTCAGGATGGAGGAGACGTGGGCCTGCTTGTAGGCGGGACGGAAGGAGCCAGTGGACAGGGAGAGATGGGAAATAAGTGAAGGAGGAGGATGCCAGGGGGCTATCTGTTGGCAGAGACGGGGTGGAAAGGATCACTTGGTCAGGTAGAGGCCACCTCCTCATGGGAGATGGGGCTGGAGGAGGTGGGGGAGGGCAAATGGCCACGTCCTCAGCTGAGAGGGTGGTGGGAGGAGGTAGAGTCGGGGTCCCCTTGGAGTTGTCTTACAGAGCCACAGAGCTTCATCTCCTGAATCTCTGACCTTCCTGGGTGCTCAGAGTGACATCTGTGGCTCCTGGATTGGACGCTCTCAGAAGGCTGGATACGTCGGGTCTCTCTTTGGCTTGTCCCCAGCCTCGTCCCAGTGTTGCTGGGTGCATGGAGAAGATGAGGGCCAGGGCTCTCATCTGGGTGCCCAGAGTGGTGCCAGGCAGAGACGGTCCCTGCCCTCGGGAACTTCCGTCCTTGTGAGACCACGCTGTGTATCTGGACATGGCAGGTCCCTGTCTTAGGTAGACTCACCGGAAAGATCTAGAAAGGAAGGGAAGGCGCATTCACCCGGGTCTCTTTCCCCCCGCATGAGGCCCTGGACCCCAGGAAGCCATCAGGAAGACAGCTGCAGAGGGGAGGCGGCCAGGCCTTGGCGCCCACCAGGCGCACGAGGGCCCGGCACACATTCCTGTGGGATTTACCAGCTTGCTCTCCTTGCCACAAAGTAGCGGCTCTGCCTTCTTTTCCTTTCCTGAAAGGGGAGAAGCTATGGGGCTGCCTCTGGCCCACAGGGAGAAGCTGCCCAGGTGTTTCCTGGCCACTGAGTCCAGTTGAGGCTGGCGAGTCACTGGCCTCAGGGTCACGTGAATTTGGGATTGTGTAGGAAGGACGAGTTTAGACAGAGTAACCTGCGTGGAAAACCCCCAGCCAAGGAAGATAACCGCGGAGGAGGGACAGGATGCTCCTGGAGATGAGCCGGCACCTGGCACACTCTTTCCTTTCCTTTGGAAGAAGGGGGGGGGTGTGCTGAATAGAGCCCTGCACAAACGCCCAGAAGCTCAGAGGGAGAAAGGCCAGGCCCAGTGGCCCGTTGTGGGGTGCCAGGCTGGTTCAGCCCAGGTCTGGGGCCATGGGCAGGTTCTTCCTTGATTCCCGGGTCAGAGCCCACACATCAGTATTCATATCAACTCGTAGAGTCCTGCAAGGGGCCTGGGGCAGTGCCAAGACTGGCCTGCAGGAATGCCAGGGGCGTGAAAAGTTGGAAGATAGAAGGAGGTGAAGGACCACTCCTAGAGAAGGACTGCAGGCCCGGAGGAGCCGAGTCCAGAGGTGGGCCCTGGGCACCGTGCCCTCTGTCTCCCTGGGGAAGGAACAGGATCAGAGATGCCCCGGTCGGGGTAGACGGGCTGACGAGGATCTCTTATTTTGCCTCTGCTTTCTCTGCCAAGAACAGTCTTTCACCTAGGAGAGGGGGAACCGAATGGTTGACAGCTGACCTGAGCAGCCCCCCGATGAGGGAGGTTTGGCCCCAGCATGGTAGAAACACTTCTTCCCTCCCCTCCCCTGACTGCCTCCCACTGATGGCTGTGATGAAAGGCCCCTGGTTCCTGCCTTCAGCTCTTCCTAACCCTGCACACGACTTGCCCTGCACATGACTTGCCCTCTTCATTCTGTCAGCACCCACGTGAATTGTCGTGTTCGTGCTCAGGTTGGACTAGGCTGGGGTCAGGCTCGTCCCTAGGAGATACTTAGGACAGACCATCGGACATGAGCCAAAGGGGCCGAGAAGGGGCGACGTTGCCAGGGCAGATTCAGCTGAGCAAAGCTGCCCTGCCTCGGGGGTCCGTCGTCATCCATGGTCAGGCCTCAGAGGCATCCGGAGCTCCTCGGGCCGTGAGGAAGTGATGTCCACGGCCTGAGCTGACCCAGTGTCCAGGACAGCTTCTGAATCTTTTAAGGAAAAACTCGCCCCCTTTGCATGTGGCTTCCACTGGACGTTGGCCCGTCCAGCACGTGCCTCAGCTGAGTCTGCCTCGTCTTTGTGGAGTGCGTGGAGCTGTGCCCTGCTCTCCTGAGAGTCCCCAGGGGATCTGTTTCACACTGGCTGCTTGTCTCCCTGGATGCCCTGCTTGGGTTCTGGAGAGAGCAGCCCACCTCCCCTTGCAGTGGCGGCAGTGATCAGGACCGGGGGCGAGAGGGCAGAAGGAAAGGCAGCAAGGATGGCATTGGCATGGTGGTGGTGGTTGGTAGAGGCTTCTCCATGGTACAGTGGACAAAGCACTGGGCGTGGAGTCTTGAAGACTTGGGTGCAAATCCAGCTTCAGACACTGGCTGCTTAACCCTGGACGAGTCACTTAACCAATCCTGTCTGCCTCGGTTTCCTTGAAATGGGGATCATCATAGCACCCACCTCCAGTTAGTAGGCGCCTGAGAAAGGCAGATTGCTCCTTTGCTCTATGAGATGGTCAAGGGAGGCTGGTGAAGGCTGGCCAGAGCCCATCTCTGAGGTGGCCAGCATTGTGCTCCAGAGGGGTTGACGAGCAGTCAGCTCTCCCCTCCTGGAGACTGGACTGGGAGGAGACTGTGTTCCTTGGGCAGCCGGCCTGGCCTGAGTTACTTCAGAAACGAAGGCAGAAAACATCAACTTTTTAAGAAGCCATCTTTCCAAACCTGACCACCCTCTTCCCCTATTTGGTGACTGTCTGGGTCACTGCTGGTAGCGTCTCAGTCTCTCCTTTATCCCCAGTACCCTCGCCCTTCTCCTCTCCTCCCACCTAATCCCATCCCTGCACTGCCCCTGACCTGCCCAGCACCACCTCTGAACCACCAGTCCAGAGCCGCCCTTCTTACACCTAGGGGTGTGCGTCATGCCCCTGACAGAAATAGATGCCCCGCCCTGAGGCCCTCCCGCTTGTTTCCATCCCTTCAGGCTTCCTCTTGTCCAAGAAACCATCTCTGACGAGTTTTCTGGTGAAGGTCGGGCCTTGACCTGGTGCCATTTGTACCTGCCCCACGCCTTGAATCCCGGGGAGCACTTCCAAAGCAAGGACGGTGCTGTTATCTTTGACCTTTGTGCCTGTCCCCCCTCGTGTCTAGTACAGTTCCGTGTGTACCAGGAAGTCTCAGTCCGTGCTTGTTGGAGGAATGACGGATGGATGTAGTCAGTGGGTGAATGAATACCTACCTCAATTCCGTGTTGACCAAAAACCCTGTGGGCCTGGCATGGGGCAGCAGGTGAAAGTGTTGACTTTCCTGGGTGGTTCCTCTGCTGGTGCCTTCCTGGCAGTGCCTCTGCCCTGAGGGGTAGCTCTGCTCAGCGGGCTTTCATGGAGCAGCCAGGGCACTTGTGGACAAACTATTCGCTGACCCAGGAATGTTACAGATACTGCATTTGGACCCCTAAAGATCAGAGAGCAGAAGGTTCATTTAGCCTGTTCAGTTTGGAGAACCAGCTCGGGCTCAGTCAGCTCCACTGTGTAGTTAGTACCTGGGGTGGTAGTTCCCAGCTCTCACCTTGCTGGGTTCTTTTGTGAACCGGATTTTTCTCTTGATTCTTCTTTCAGAGCAGAAAGGCTTTTGGAATGTGTGCTTTCCATGTTCGTTTTAGTCTTCGAGCAAATTAACTGTTGTCTGAGTTTTGTAAAACTTTATACAAGTTGCTGGAACTATTTAGACATGGAATGTAAAAGGAATAATTTGGTGTCTTTTCTGAGCCCCTCTTCTGACTGGGCCCATCCTGGGGCAGGGGTTCAGAGAATCAGTTAAGTGGGGACAGAGTCTTCCCGGGGCCTCCCCGTAGGAGCCTGCCTGGGGGGGCGGGCAGGGAAGAGAGTTTCTCAGCAGCATCCAGACCTGCCTGGGCCGTAAACCCAAGCACTTGGGAACTTGTGTGTTGAGGGGCGTCTGCATTCAGCCTGGGTGCATCCTCTAATCTTCTGCATTTACATTTCTAGGCCATCTTAGCAGAGTCGGTTCTGCTTTTCAGAGGGAGAGCAGGTATTGGTGACTGCTTCACCCCTCAGCCCGATGCCCTTTGGCTCGGATCTGCCAGGATCTGGCCACTGTGTGAGCCTGGTGTGAGGCCTTTGATTTATTTTCCCTTCAGGGACTTGGCTTCTGTGTCTGCTGTACTCCCTTCCCCCTCCGTCCATGCCTGGGGGCAGATGGGACCCTGACCAAGAAGTCTGGGAATCCCAGCAACACCTACCCCAGCATGAAACTGAGCTCGGGGCTGAGCCCCTGCTTCAGGCGACAGGTGGTACTGCAGCTGAGGGCATGTTCCTCAGGGGAAGTGGCTTTTTGATCAAATCTGGGTCCTGAAGGAGACACTCTGTGTGTGTGTCTGTGTCTGTGTCTGTCTGTGTGTGTGTGTGTGTCTGCGTCTGTGTGTGTCTGTGTGTCTGTCTGTCTGTGTCTCTGTGTACATGTACATGCACGTGCTTTGAACGTTTCCTAGTCTGCCTGACCCCGAGCTAGCCAGCCCCATTCTCTGCCTGCCCCCGGGTGTCAGGCAGGCCTCCATAGAGATGCCCTGCTGGGCTCCAGGCTCCCCCAAGCCAGGCATATGGAACTGTATACCAGACAGATGGCTGGAGACAGAAATGGCCTCCTTGGGGGTGGGTCTGCAGCCCGGAGCTTGGACGGACAGCTTCAAGTGCAGGTTAGCCGAGAGGTGGTTGTTGAGGCCCAGAGAGGCCGAGGCCAGGGAAGGCCTCAGGCCAGAAACCTGCCTCCTGGGGGGTTGGCAAGGTGAGGACATAGGGAAAGAAGAAGCTGGCAGCCAGAGTCCGTCCCGATGGGCGCTTGGATCCCGAGCTGCTGCTGTCCGGCCCTTTCATTTTTACAGAGAGGGGAACTGAGGCCAGAGAGGTGATTGGCCCGAGGCCATTCAGGCAGTCCCCTGGAAAGAGGGAGAGGAGTCCCCCCGGGCTAGTTCTTTTTCTCAGAGTGTGGGGTCTAAGAGCAAACAAAGAACTGCCCCAGGGGCTCATTTAACCTCAGGGGCCTAGGTTTCTGCTCTTGGCCTTTTTTAAAAAAGGGCAGTTGTTGCCACTTGACCAGTGTCCTGGTCCTGAGCCCCTGAGTGCTCCGGGTTTCCATCCAGGGAGCAGGTGGGCATTAGAAGGATGGTGCAGATGCAGTGGAAATGCCACTTTCTGGCCTTTGCTAAAGGCCCCAGACCTTTCCTGTCCCTGCCTTCTAGCTCTGTGCCCCTGGGCCGCATCCCAAGCTGTTACTTCAGGGATTAACAGCAAAAGTGTGAATGATCTGTATCCTGAGGGGATCTACCACACTTTCAGAGAAGGTCTAGATTTGCAAAACAAATCATTTAAAACGTATCTGTGAAGGAATGAGTCCTGGAGGCCAGACTGGATTGTCTGGGCTAGGCAGCCGTTAGTGATTTAAGTGAACTTTTGAAAGAATTTTATTGTACAATTAGTGTCTGGGGCGACTAGGTGGCGTAGTGAATAGAGCACGGGCCCTGAAGTCAGGAGGACCTGAGTTCAAATCCGGACTCAGACCAAACATTTGACACTAGCTTTGTGACCCTGGGCAAATCACTTAACCCCAATTGCCTTAAAAAAAAAAAAGAAATGAGGTAAAATGAGTGGCCACCAACAAAAAGAAACAAAAATCATAAAACGATAAACTCCACACCTGTGTTTTTTTGTTTTTTAAGGAGAATTGGCATATTACCAGCCAGGGGTGCCACAAATGCACAGAACCCTAACCTGGAAGCAAGAAGACCCGAGTTCAAATCCAGCCTCAGACATTTTGTAGCTCTTTGACCCTGGGCCAGTCACTTCTGTTTGTCTGAATTTCCTGAACTGTGAAACAAGGAGAATAATAGCACAATCTCTCCAGGTTGTTATGAGGATCAAATGAGAGTCTTTTTAGTAAGCGCTATAGAAATGGTAGCGGCTATTATTATTACTGACTCTCCTTTGCTCTCCCCCACACATTGTAGAGTAGCAGTGGCAGAGCCATTCGCCCCCTCAGTCTCTGTGGGTTCTGTGAATATTGTCACCCCCATTTTGCAGGTAGGAAACCGAGGTTCAAGGGAGACCCTGGATTTGAACCCTGGTGTTTTGCCTCTCAATGCAGCATTCTTTCCACTGTGCCCCACTACCTCTTATAAAATAGCATAGGTTGGAGACACCCAGGAAGGTCTAATTTTGGTCCCGATAATTTGCATGGGCTGGCCTTTGCATGAAAAGAGGGCTTCCTTGTGGGTGATGGGCAAACCTCAGCGTAGTAGGAGATGCTGTTCTGCACCCTGTAGATGCTCCCCATACAACGGATTCGTCCTGGTGGGCAGACTCAGAAGGGGGTTTTGCTGACTTCATTTATTTAAAGGAGAATCCTATTTCCTTCTTGGGGTCTCCAGGGAAGAATTTTCCTTCTACAGTTTACGGAGTTGCCAGAAAAGGGGGTGGCCTGAGGGAGCCTGCCGGGGAACTTCCCCCTCCAAATGCTAGATCCCTAGTTGGGCCAGATTCTGTGTCGCTTGTGCCCTTCCCTAAGACCCCTAGGATCTCCCTCTGTGGGTTGATAGCCTTGTGCCTGAACACCCAGGTACCTGCTCTAATAGCAGCCTGGAGGGATAGGTGGGAGCAGGTGGGGAGGGCTTAGGTCTGAACCGCAGGGGAGTGGCGTGGGCAGCCCCTCTGCTTGGGGTGCTTGGAGAGGAGACAGATTGGAAGACTTAGCAGCAGAGGTCCGGAGCGAGCAGCCACATGAGGAGAGGGGCTTTGTGGGGATTGTCTTGATGACACTTGGTGCCTGACTGGTCTGAGGGATAAAGGCCAGTGACCTTCAGCAAAAAGGGATGTCCAAAAGAAGGGTGGGTTTCAGGGGAAAGATGATGAGTTCAGTTTCAGATATGTTGCATTTGGGATGCCTGTGTGACATCTAGCTAGAAATGTCTCTTGAGAGAAGAGGGCTGGGGTCCTCCACATGGGGAGGATGCTCGGGCTTGCCTGGTCACCAGGTGACAGTGTAGAAAGCACCGGGCCCAGGCCCACGGGGCAGGGCTATGGTATCCTGATGTTTTGGCAAAGGAGACTGAGGACCAGCTGGAGGGGAGAGTTCCTAGCAGCAGAAGGCTTGACAAGGATGAAGCCTGGGAAGAGACCATCCGATTTGGTGGTACCTGTGGGGCTGAGGCCAGATGCCAGCTTGTAGGGGGATGCTCCTCGAGTCTGTGTTGAGGGGATGATAGGGTCTGGTGGGCTCCTGCAGAGAGGGTTGGAGACCTTGGGAGAGGCCCGGGCAGCGAGGACGTCCGATGCATCCCGGCACAGGCACACTGCCTGGGGGCCAGTGTCACTTTGCCTGTCCTTGTGTTCGCAGTGAATTTTGAAGCCCTGATCATCGCCATGTCAGTGGTGGGAGGCGCCCTCATCCTGGGCATCACCATCTGTTGCTGCTGCTGCTGCTGTAGGAAAAGGAGGAACCACAGGTGAGTGTTGGAGGGCAAGGGGCCTCCAGGCTAGGTCCCCCGGGGCTGGGGCGGGGGCCAGGCTACGGCCACTGACCAGTGACCGGCTCTCTCTTGGTTTTGGCAGGTCAGACAAGGAGGAGGAACGTGCTGCTAGAGAGAGAGAAGAGAGGAAAGTGCGGCAAGAGGAAAGGTGAGGGGGCCCCCGACGCAGGGACAAGGTCCCCCAGGTTGGGCTCCCATAGTACCGTATACGGCTCTCATTCTGATATTGGTCTCTGTGCCAAGATTTGTGCTGGATAATTCACTTCTCTTTAGCCTCCAGTATTTGTAAGAGCCTGTCTCTCGCCCCAGAGCCCAAGGCCCACACTGAGAGGATGGTCCAGTCAGCTGCCAGGAAGCTGCAGGGTGAGGGGCGTGGGTCCAGGAAAGGGGGAGCTGGCAAGACTTGCTAGGGAGAATGTTGTAGGAAGTGAACCTCAAAGGAGGACCAGGACGCAGGCACCTGGAGCCAGCGTCCAGCCTGGGAATGCCCAGAGGCTGTCTGCCTTCCGTCTTGGAGGCTTTGAACGGCAGCTAGGGGATCCTTAGCTGGACTTGGGCCACTTTGTGGAGATGCCAGCCCCGAGGCTGTCGTGGAGCTGATGAAGGCCTGGCCTAGCATCCACTACACCAGACAGCTGACCAGAAGAAAGGCGGGGGTGTCAAGCCTGGAGCCCGGGCACCATGAACCAAGAGCCCCATCGGTCAGATGGGACGAGATCCCCAGCTGTCCTGATGGCCTGACTATCCTGGCAGTACTTGCTCATGGCTGTGATTGCTGTCTCTCTTCCCTATTCACTGGATGTTCAGAAACAGAAGTCTTGGGGCTCTTGGTGAAACAAAGGCCCCTTTTGAAGAGATGCTGGGCGGTGAGCAGTCAGGCAGGTGTCCACCGCAGCCGGCCGGCCTGCTTGGGCCAAGGGAGACAGGAGACCCTGGGGAAGGGGATCTGCTCCCCTAACTTGGGCAGGTGTGTGCATCCTTGGGTTTCCTTCCTTTTTCAGGAGAGCAGAGATGAAGTCTAGACATGAAGAAATCAGAAAAAAATACGGTGAGACCCACTTTATGTTTAATCTGTTGTCTGTTGATTCATGTATATCTTAGAGTCAGTGCTCTGTGACTGACTATGGTGAGCCCTCTGTGGGGTGCTTCTGGGGCTGGGCAACATCTCCCCAATGGACTCTATGTGGGCTGAGGAACGTCTACCCACTGGCTCCATCTGGGCTCAGGAACATCTCTGTGTCCTTGTCTGGCCCTACCTGGGCTGGGGAATGTCACTGCTGGGCCCCGTCTGGGCTGAGGAGCGTCTCTGTCTCCCTACCTGGGTCCTCTCTGGGCGGGGGAATGTCACCGCTGGGCCCCGTCTGGGCTGAGGCGCGTCTCTGTCTCCTTACCTGGGTCCTCTCTGGGCGGGGGAATGTCACCGCTGGGCCCCGTCTCACCATCTGGGACCTCTCTGGGTGGCTCTAGCTTTGAGTTAAGTGGGATGACGCCCTGGTTCCCAGTCGCTGGTCCATCCATATCTGAGCAGCTCTCAGACACGCTCCTTCAACTTCCTCACGGCTTCCTGCCATGTGACAGGGCACAGTGCCAGGTCCTTGTCTCTTTTCCCCTTGGCTTGCTCCAGCCCTGTTCCTCCTCTTCTCCTCGCCACCCCCTCTTTGTAGAGGTCCCACCTGGAGGTCATAGTTGTCTGCTCGTGCCCCAGAAGGGTGGCATGGATATCCCATGAGTGTGGTTCATCCCCTGGTCAAAGTGACCAGACTTTTCTTTTTTTTTTGTATTTCTGAACTCAGAAAGTTTTTATGAATAGAAATTAGGGGGGAAAAAGCCACACATATCTGAGATGATTTCTGACAGCGTTCAGTCTGAGAGATAACGGTGCCTGCCCAATCACATTGCCACATTCCTATGTAACAAGTAAGTGCACAGGTTACAAAAACAAGTCTGAGTCTGTTTCGGAGGACAGATGTCTGGGCACAAAACAATTCGGTTTGTTCCTCGTAACTGGTAGCTTCTAGGACAGTCATTACCCATTGACTCCCTGCCACATCTGCCCCTGGGACCGCTCCAAACCTCTTCTTTGCTCTTCACAATAGGAACCACGAGAAAGTAGGGGAAAAAAAGAGCAAATAGTTTGCTTCGACCTGCTTTCAGCCTCTGTAGTTCTTTCTCTGGCTGTGGATAGCATTTTCCATCACGAGTCTTTTGGAATTGTCTTACATCTGTGCATTGCTGAAAGGAGCTAAGTCTATCAGAGTTGGTCATCGCACCACAAAGTTGGTCTGTGACTGTGTACGATGTTCTCCTGGTTCTGTTCACTTCACGCAGCATCAGTTAATTTAAGTCTTTCCAGGTTTTTCTGAGGTCCACCTGCTTATAATTTCTTATAGCACAATAGTATTCCATTACATTCATATGCTCCAACTTGTTCAGCCATGCCTCAATTGATGGGCATCCCCTCAGTTTCCAATTCTTGGACACCACAAAAATTCGAGCTGCTATAAATATTTTTGTACATGTGGGTCCTTTTCCCATTTTTATGATCTCTTTGGGATACAGCCCTAGATGTGGTATTGCTGGGTCAAAGGGTATGCAGTTTTATAGTCCTTTGGGCATAATTCCAAATTGCTCTCCAGAATGGTTGGATCAGTTTACAGCTCCACCAGCAATGCATCAGTGTCCTGGTTTTCCCACATCTCCAACATTTTTCATTTTCCTGTTTTGTCATGTTGTCCAGTCTGATAGGTATGATGTGGTACCTCAGAGTCATTTTGATTTGCATGTATCCAATTACTAGTGATGAGTGACTAAACTTTTCGAGACTGTGATCTCCTTTATTCCTTAGCTCGCTCACTTTCCTCCATCTTGTGTATGTTTGTGGGCAGTCGTGTTTTGGTGTTAAACTTTCTGGGAAATGAGAATTGTGTGGCCCTTGCCTTCACCCCTTCCTAATCTTGCTCATTCTTTCTCCACCATTTTTTCCCATGGTTGAAACTGACTTGTCTGCATGCTGGGTGCAAGATGGTGGCATTTCCAAACTGGATGTGAATCCACTGGGATTCCCTACCCCTTGCTCCTGGTCTTCATTTGCTACTTCAGTGTAGAACTGATCTAGATGTGCAGTCAGGCTCACTTGGGTCCAATAGAGTTGGCAGGAGACTCGAGAGGTTGGGACATGTCTTATTTCATGCCATCATGTATGAATCTGTTGATGAGTCTAGGCAGGGTCCCAGAAACCAGCAGGAAAAGCCCATGGTCTGGGAGATAGCAGTTGATTTACCTGGAGTGGGCTGGACAGCTGTCAAGGGAAGGGACCTGGGCTTGTTTGGCCTCATCCTCTCTGCCCTTCTCCAGCACCTAGAACTCCATATGGCCCTTTTGGCCACGTAACCCATATCTGCTCCATTGGCAGGAAGCAGGACTGTGCTCCCACTCTTTCTTTTTTTTCCCACTCTTTTCTAAGGAGGGATGCTGGACATCCCAAGCAGGGCAGAGCAGTCCTTGTCTGTGGTAGCCAGAAGGGAGGAACAGGAGAAACTTGGGCAAAATAATCCAATTAGTGGTAAGGAAAATGCCCGCTGAAGGAGGAGAGGTGGCCTTGTTGGCTTGGGGAATGGTTCACCCCACAGTCTTCTGTTTTCCCTTCTGTGTGCATCAAATTCTAAGCTTAGGAGCCAGATTTTGGCCTCTTCCTGAATCTTGCGTGGGACTCGTCCGCTTCAGGGCGTGTGTCAGCTTGGTCAGGCCCATCTAGTCCGTGGAAAGCACCATGTCCAGGCACGCAGGTAGAACTCACAGTCGGCCTTAACTTTCCAAAACAGATGTGTTACAATAAACGGGCCCAAGCAGAGTGATCCGGGTCCTTGCAGTTTCCCATTTGGTGAATGGATTGTCATTTTAATCTGTCATTTCCAGGGCTGTTTAAAGAACAGAACCCTTACGCCAGATTTGAGAACTAGCCCTCCGTGGAGCTCCCTGCTGGCCGCGGGCGGCCGAACTTCCTCCGAGGGGATGCGGCTGCTCAGAGGGGTCCTGCTTCCGTTTCACATGGTCAGAAATCACATCCACGTCTTCCCTTAATCTGATGCTTTCAGTAAAGAGCCTTATGTTCAAACGAGACCCTCTCTAATCCCTGATGAGTTATTCTGGCAAGAGAAGCCCTTCTCCTGGGCGCGATGGAGGCGTCTTGGCTCCCGGTCATTGCTCCTGAGGACTGAGGCTGGGGGTCGCTGCTGCTCTCTGCTGGCCTGCATTGCCCTCCCAAGTCATCCTCTGCCCTGTGTCTTGAGCATTGTTTTTTATTTCAAACAGAGGCCTTGGTTCTGGTTAAAGTATGTAGTCACCCTTTCCATTTCATCCTTCATAACCAGACACCCGTTGAAATGCGCCGTGATTGATAGCGCTCTGGGAAATTGTCTTGTGTGCACCCAGAAGAAGCCACTGCCTGCGGGCTTGGGGTTATTTACTCTTCTGCAGTACGGTGGAAAGATGGCTTTGGAAAAGTCAACCAGAATTACAGAGGTTCTTTAAGTATCCTGGATACTTTTTTTTCTTTTGTTTTTAACAAATGCAGTTAAATTTCCCCGGCTTTGAGAATAGCATCTGTTCCCTGGAGCCCCAGTGACAAAGGCCAGCGCCCTCTCCAGAGGCGTGAGCTCAGCGGTGGTGGGGAGGGGGTGCCAGGCCATTGGCTCCTGCTTGGGGAACAGAGCTGACTGGGGTCTCTGGGAAGGGCTTCCCAAGGCTGCCGGTCACCACGTTCTGAGGGCGGCTGCTCACATCTCTCTGTGGGGTGCGGTGGAATGCGGCCTACAGGGCCAGAGTGGAGCGTCCCATTCTGCTGTGGAGGAGGCAGAGGAGGCACCCCCCACAGTTGGCATGCAGTGTGACCTGAAGCTATTCTTAGTCTCCAGCCAGGTTGAAAAGTTACCCTTAGACTCTTTAAAAACACTTTTTAATGGTGTATGTAATGGCCTTACTGTGAATTAACCTTTCTACACTGAAAATCTTGGCTGTCAGGAAGCTCTTTGCCTTGAGTCTTCCCTAAATTACCTGCCGCCAAGGGAGGTGCTCAGGTGGGGGTGAGGAGGGGGCTTCCAGAGAAGCTCGTGATCAGCTGACTGCCTAGCTCCGTGTTAGTGTGGGGGCGTAGCAGGGAGAACTGACCTTGGACGGCCTAGCAAGGATCACTGCGATTACTGGCCTGCATTTAACCCTTTCTTACCTAGAGGAGCCCAGATTTTTAAAGTGTATCTGCTATATTTCTATTCTGTTTCTATACCAAGACCAGCCTGTAGCCACAGGCTAATATCCTCACCCTTGTGAGTGCCTTAAATTTTGAGAATTTCAAATAAAAAGATTTATTGTAATTTTGTGTTACCTGTGATGGGTTCTGTATTGTAAGTGTATGTACCTGTAACTAATCCCTGGGCAGTGAGAGTAATAATCAACACAGAGGGGCCAGGAAGCCCCCAGGTCCAGAACAGATGTCTACACTAGAGTGTGCCTGGTGTGGAGATGACCCCGGCCAGGACAACCAGACTTTGGATCCAGCCCAGCAGCAGCACCCAGCTTAGCAGGGGAGATAGGAAAGAGCAGCCCCAGGCCCTGCTCTCCAGGTGCTCCTGGTCTAAAGGGGGAGATAACTCACAAGAAGGAGGCCCCAGGTGGGTGGGAGGCCAGGAGCCCGGTTGTGGGAAGGAGAGCATCACGTGCACAGCCCCACTAGCCCTTCTGGGACAATTTTTAGAGAAAAGTGAGAGCCCGGGGTGGGGGCGGCAGGAATGAGCTCGGACAGTTATCCCTTCTACAGTGAGACTTTTCCCATCAAGGTTTCAGTATATCAAGGGTCAGCATAAGAAATTAAATGGGAATTTGGGGAGCATTTTGCAGAAGCCACAAACAGCATGTGAAGGCTAGTAGACAACACAGGGCTTATGACCAAATCCTTAAGCCAAGTTTTATAAGAAGTTACCATAAACACCCCAGGTAAGAAAAAAATCAGACTTTCTCTGGTACAAAGGGAGGGAGGGCCCAGAATTTTTACACAGATTTTCCAGATTGCAGGGGTGGCATGCCCATCACCCCCGAGATGTGGAGGGGATAACATAGACAGCATTTCCATTCCACCATTTCCATTCCATTCCGCCAGGCTGTGATAAGGTCTACAGACGTCTGGTCCTCAAGACGACCTTGGCAGGTGGGTCCTCCAGTGACCCCCATCACCACCAAGGAGGAAAGTAGATGGAGGCTAAGTGCCTGGTAAGTGTCTGGGCTCCGACTTGCCCTTGGATCTCCCTGGCTGGGGTTCTAGGCCCGGTGGTGCCTGTTTGTTACCTGGGCTCCATCGCTGGTCGCTATCGTGGGGTCACTCAGCTTGACTCTGCTCAGACTATGGAGTGCCTCCTGTCAGCCGGCCAAGCTCTCTCTGCCCTTGCATCCATCCCATGCCCCCAAAGTGTCCCTTGCTCCTTCCTGTCTTCAAGCTCCAGGCCAGAGATGCTGCCCCAGCCTTCTGGCAGACGTCTGGCCGTCTGATGACCTGTGCCCCAAGTCTCCTCCGGGCCCCTGCCCCTCTGGTTCTTTCTCAGATCTTCCTAGTCCTAAGAAACCAGCATCCTCTCTCCAGTAACCACACTTACTGAAAAAATAGTCTATGCATTTGTGATTAGGCCCTTCCCTTTCCCTACCAACATCAACCCTGCCGTCCCTTGCTGCCCACCCTGATGGCCTCTGTCCCTCTGGGCTCTAGCCAAGGGAGTGCCTTGGGGATCTCTGCTTGGCCCTGTGCAGGATGAGAAGCGTTCATCAGTCATTAGGCTGGAGATGGCCTCTCCACCCTGGGAGGGAAGCTAACTGCATGACAGGCAGAGTCCAAGAAGATGGAATTCCGTAAGAGTGAACGAAGACTCACCCCTGGAATCAAAAGGGAATTCACAAGTCCTCAAAGGTGGCCGTTTGAAGGGGCCCGGGCTTTGTGGACTGACCACAAGAGTGGTCAGTATGGGTCAACAGAGTGTGAACATGGCAGCTAAGAAATCGAATGCATTCCAAGAGAGGCCGCGTTGGACTGGGCCTCCATGCCAGCAAGCCTGTTGGTGCAGGCTCCCTGACCAGCCAGCAGGTAGAGGAGAGAAAAGCCATTCATGGGCTCCATCCGAGGCCGGCCCCCACTGGTGTTAGTGACCACACACTGGAACTTGCTCTTCCTGTTTGACAAACTCTCATCCGTCAAGCTCTCCCCATCCGAGTGATTTTCAGTGATTATTTAAACCCTCCCCTCCATCTGCTCCTCAAGCCCTTCACATCCTGGCCCAGTTGTCCCTTTCTAGCCTCACTAGATGGGACTCCCCCATTTGTTGTTCCTTCATAACATACGACACGCCTCCTCTGTGCCTCGGGGGCCGGCCTTGCTCAGCGGTCCCCCACTCACTTGGCTAAGCATCCATCAAGCACCTGTGTGCTGACCACTGGGGATGCAAAGAAAGGCAAAATGCTGTCCTTTCCCCCAAGAAGCTTGTGCCGCTCTCTAGGGGAGCCAACATAGATAAAGGTGATTTTATCAAGTAGGGGAAAGGGCCTGGAAACTCGAGTGGGGAAATAAGGGAGCAGGAGAATGGGGCACTTGAGCCAGGGGTTCTGAGAGCCAGAATTGAGACTGAAAGCTTCTAGACCTAGGGGACAGCCAGTGCCATGGTACCTAGGCAGGAGATAAGAGTGCAGGGTGTGATTGGGAAGTGGGGGCGGAGAAGACAAAAAGTAGACTTTAAATCCCATCAATTCTGGAGGTAACTAGGGAGTCGCTAGAGTTGGTAGGCCCCGGAGGTGGGGAAGGGGAAGGGCTTCGTGATCAGGTGTGTGTCAGGAAAATCGCTTTGGCAGCCGCATGGAGGAGCTGGAGTGGGGAGAGACCGCCCCACCTCCACCCCATCCCCCGGAGCTGGTCCTGGCATGAGGTGATGAGGACATGCGTCAGGGCTGAATGTGTGAGTGAAGAGAAAGGAACCCACGTGAGAGATGTAGAGAAAGAAGTAACTCGCTTTGACAGCTGGCTGGATATGGGGTGAGTGCAGAAGAAGGACGGTAGCAAGGCTGCGAGCCCGGATGACGGGGAGCACGGGGTGCCCTCAGCAGGAATGGGGAAGTTCAGTTTGTCACCCTTGTTAACCTCTTTTCAAGATTTCAGTTCCGAATTCTCTCCCTCCTCTGCCTCCTCCGTCCCCGAGAAGGCAAGCAACGCGACATCAGTTATTCCTGTGAAATCGTGCAAAGCATTTCCATATCAGCCACATTACTACAAAGCAAGGAAGAGGGAGAAAAGTCTCCTTCACTTGCCTCAGTTCATCACGTCTTCCTCTGCAGGGGGAGAGCACTTTTTCGTGATGAGTCCTTTGGGATTGTCTCAGACCATAAGTCTTTCACGGGTCATTATCACTCCGATATTGCTGTATCTGGTTCTGCTCCCTTCACTCAGCATCAGTTCACATGAGTCCAAGTTTTTCTGAAGTCTGCCTGCTCATCATTTCTTTTTTCTTTTTTTTTTTTTTGGCTAGGCAATGGGGTTAAGTGACTTGCCCAAGGTCACACAGCTAGTAAGTGTTATGTGTCTGAGGTCAGATTTGAACTCAGGTCCTCCTGAATCCAGGGCCTGTGCTCTATCCACTGCGCCACCTAGCTGCCCCTATGCTCATCATTTCTTATAGCACAATAGTATTCCATTACATTCATATACTGCAACTTGTTCAGCCATTCCCCAATGGATGGGCACTCCCTCAATTTCCAATTCTTGGCCACCACAGAAAGAGTTGCCATAAATATTTTTGTACATGTGGGTCCTTCTCCTTTTTCTTTGATCTTTTTGGGATACAGACCTAGCAGTGGTATTGCTGGATCAAAGGGTGTGCCTGGTTTTATAGCCTAGTTTGGGCCTAGTTCCAAATTGTTCTCCAGAATGGTTGGACCAGTTCATAACTCCACCAGCAGTTTATTAGCGTCCCTATTTTTTCCTCATCTCCTCTAGCATTTGTCATTGATAGGTGTGAGGTGGTACCTCAGAGTTGTTTTAATTTACATTTCTGTAATTAATAATGATTTAAGGTATTTTTCATGTGACTATAGATAACTTTGGTTTCTTCTGAAAACTGCCTGTTCACATCTTTTGACCATTTATCAATTGAGGAATGGCTTTTATTTTTATAAATTTGACTCTATCTCCTATATATTTGAGAAATCAGTCTTTATTAAAGAAACTTGCGGTAATTTTTTTTTTCTGGTTTCTAATCCATTCTGCTCTCTGCTTCTGTTTTATGGGTGAGTGCATCCATTCACATTTGCAATTATGATTACTGTGTATTTCCTTCCATCTCATTTTCTTCTCTTTCTTCTCTCTCTTTTTATCCTGTCCCTCCTCAAAAGTCTGTTTTGCTTCTCACTTCTGCCTCCCTTAATCCACTTTCTCCTTCACCATCTCCCTCCATCCATGTCTTTTATCCAGTTTCCCTCTTATTTCCCTATCAGGTAAGATCCATTTCTATAC